GAACAGAGGACAAAACTCCCTCTGCTTGCCCAGCTCTTCCTGTGGGTTTCACACCCTGAAATAGCTCATCCACCAAGGTCCTTAGATACCAGGAAAGAAAGTGGGAGTTTATTCATCAGAGCTCACTTCAAAATATTCAAAAGATCCCTTTCTCAGTAAAATATGCATGTATTAACGGTTTCAAATCAGATACACAAATGCGACACCCATTCTCACTCTTGAGCAGTCACTCATGTCTCAGCAACCCAGGGGGCCCCTCCAGTCACTATTCTACTGTCTTCTCTCTCTGCCCCCTCGCCCTCCCTGTCCTCTCTCTGCAGACTGCTGTGTGTGTGTACAAGCACATTTGTGCTCCTGTGTGTTGAGACTAGAGCCTGACACTCTGATGTCTTCCTCAATTGGTCTTCATGCCTTTGTTTTTGAGATAGTGTCTCTCACTGAATCTGGAGCATGCTATCTCAGCATGACCAGATGGCCAGCAAGCCTCAGGTAGCCTCCTGTTTTGTCCTACTTATTCTGTAGTATTGCTGAGATTTAAAAAAATCAAAACCAACCAACAACAGGAAAAGATCCGGCCCTGATTGCTCGCAGGGGTCCTACACCTGGCTATGCGTGGTACTGGCCTAGGCAGGCTAGCGGATCCTCCTTTTCCCTGGCAGTTGCTCGGATGGCAGCATCTTCTTCTTTTGAGACTCACCAATCCCAGTTCTGACTCCTTCCAGGGACCCAGTGGCCACACATGCCTTACTGATACCTGGAGGTAGGCTGACTGGGCTTCCCTTCCCCTCCAGCTCTCTGAACTAAACCCAACCTCCAGGCCTTGTTTGGGTCTCACACCCCCTGTGTCCAGGTCCAGTCCGGTGAGTTCTCTGAACCCTAGCCTGCCCACAGCCTCTCCAGTACCCAGACCATGATCTGGCCCATTCTGATCACCCCCACTTCATCCATCTTCATCCCCAGGCTTGGCCCCTGTCACACATCTGCTGAGTCCCCCAGACACTAGTCTGCCTGCACCACATCCAGCCTCCAGGCATGGACCACACATCTGTTCATGGATCAAGCATGTTAAGTCTCTGGAACCTAACCAGCCTGTGCCATCCCCAACCCACAGGCTTTGCTTTGTCAGCATAGTCTGAACAACCTAGCGTAACACATCACTTTAAACTCACAAGCAACCAAAGAGGCTCACATGCCCATATCACGCCGTAAAAATACAGTGTGAAGCACCAGCACGGGCTATCTGACCCCAGATCTACCAATTTGTCGGGAACTACTTCGATGATGCCTGAGACACAGAACAATCTTAAACTTCATCAAATCACTCAAGGAGTGATTTACAGACACAAAGAAACAGCTCAACGAACTCAATGAGGATAACAGTAACTGCTGGAGTAGGAAATGATAAAGGCAATCCAGGCTTTAAAAACTGAATCCTTGAAGAGGTCACAAGCTGAGATGAAGATAGGACTGAAAAACTCAACAGCTCAATTAGAAAACTCTGGCCAGTACTGGGGTGGGAGGGTAAAGGGGAGGATTTAAAACAATCAGGCAAGAAATAGGGAAAAAAACCAACCCGTGAAAAGAAGCTTGCAGAAAGTGTGGGACCCCACAAAAAGGCCAAAATTTCTAATTCTAGGCATAGAGTAAGAAGAATAACCCTAGGTCAGTGGCACAGTTCAGATTTTTCAATACAATCATAGATGAGAACAACCCCAAGTCAAGGGAAGACTAACCCAGTTGGATATAAGAAGTGAAGGGACTCTGGCCAGCTCAGGTATGGTGAGCATGTGGCTCTGGCAGGCCCGGCCCTTCTCCCCCATCCCCTCCGCCTTGCTAAAAACTATTACATTACATTCTTAAAGCTAGACATCAAAATCTATTCCCTTATTCAGCCATTCCCCTCCCCAGCCCAAGGATGACTACCAAGGTCCAGCTATGGAAGCATCAAAAGCCCTCTTTAGCTCACCTAATTAACATATCCAGTTAAAAGTAAACAGGGTCTCCCATTTGACCTTTACAAACTTCCATTTTCCTATGGGCCATGTCTGTCTCCCCTCTATCCAGAGGCAGTCCTGTGTCTTGGGACAAATACTCCTGTCCCCTCTCCCCGTCCCTTGTTCCCTGCATTCTAATCAAGGGAACAATTAACCAAGAAGATGTTACAGTCCTAGGCGTAAAAGCTCCAACTTCATAAAAATCATACTTAGGGAGTTAAAGACATAGACTAAGTATGAGTTAATAACAGGTGATTTCAAGATCCCCTTTTATTACCAATACACGTTTCTTAAATAAACAGAGAAACATTGGAACTGAATGACATTATATAATCAAACAAATCTACAGGATATTCTGTTCCAACACCAAAGAATATATACTTTCTACTCAGCAGCCCATGGAAACTTATCTAAAATGTATCACGTAGCCTGGAATACAAATCCTAAAAAATTCAGAAAAAATTCATGTATCCCTTTGAACTATAATGGACAACAAAGGAATCTGTACAGAGTCATGGAGAGTAAATGAAACCACAGCACAACGGAACCTCCAGGACACATTAAATACAGTCCTACAAGGGAAATGTATACATCTGACTGCCTGCGTTAAGATACCAGAACACACCTGAGCTGGGACTGGTGGCCTTTAGTCCAAGCACTCTGGAGACAGGCAGAGCTTGAGGTCAGCCTAGTCTAGGTAAAAAGTTCCAGGTTAGCCAGTGCTATGTGGGGAGACCCTGTCTTACTCCCACTACCTCGGCCAACCCAAGAAAAAAAGAATAACTTAATCTGGAAAAATTAAAATGTAAACCCTGTAGACAGGGGGAAAAATGAAATAGAATCAATGAAAAACAATACGGAAAAAGAAAAATGAAATCCAAGAGCTGGTCCTTTGACAAAATAAAGCAAGACAGAGCAGACCTTTGGTCCAATTAGACAAAAACAAAATCCACAAAATCCCTATCACATTAACAGAATCAGATGAACAGGGAAATGTTACAGCAGACAAAGAAATGGAGAATACCATAAGACAATACTTTATGGGCCTAAATCTATTAAGTTAGCAAACCTAAAAGAAACATTTCTAGATTCACCTGAACTACTAAAGTTAAACCAAAAAGAGATCAATTTAAACAGACCCATTACAAACACGGAGCTCAAACAGTGACCAAAAAAAAAAAAAAAAACCTGACTAAAAAAAGCCCAGACACAGATGGATTCACAGCAGATTCTATGAGACTGTCAAAGAAGAGTCAACCAACTTGGAATCAAAAAGTTGTACCCCCAAACTCCTTCTACAAACACAGTATCACTAACACCAAAACCAAGTGAAGACTCAGCAAAAAGGAAATTCTAGGCCAATATCCCTGATGACCAGACTCAAAAATCACTCACTAAGATACTTGGAAACAACACAGTCATACCTCAAAAAATTATATACCATGACTAAGCTGGCTTTATCCCAGAGATGCTCAGCATGTAAGTCAGTAAAAACTTGACAAAAATCTAACATGGCTTCATGATAAAAGTGCCAGAGACAGTAGGACTCAAGGGAACATGCCTCGACCTAATAAAGGATATCTATGACAAACACAAACCGGAGAAAAATTTGAAGCAATACCATTAAAATCAGGAAAAAGACAGAGCTATCCACCCTCCTTGCCACACCTTTTCAGTACCTGAAGCACTAGCAAAAGCAATGAGGTAAGAGAAGCCAATGAAAGGGATACATTAAGAAAACAAGTAAAATTAACTCTGCTTGTAGATTATATATTACAGACATTCTAAAAATCCCACCAGCAAATTTCTAGAAAGGATCAACAATTTCAGCAAAATGGCAGGGTACAAAAATCAACTTTAAAAACTATATTCTAACAACAAACACAATGAGGAGATGATCTTGGAGACACTCATTCACCATAAAAGAAAAAAAGAATAAGCCTAATCTAGGTAGTTTACAACAAAAACTTTAAAGCTCTCAAAAAAGAGATGGAAGAAAATGGAAAGACTTGTCATACTTATAGATTGGTACAATTAATATTGGGAAAAGGCTCTTTCTACCTAAAGCCATTTATAGATTGAATGGATTCCCAATCAAAAATTCTTACAACATTCTTCACAGAAATAGAAAGATATCATCCTAAAATTTATATAGAACAAAAGACCCCAGATAGCCAAAAGCAATCCAGAAAAAGACAACAATGCTAGGATCATCATTCCACATTTCAAGGTATTTTACAGAACCACAGTAATAAAAGCAGCAGGCCATCACCACAAAAAACAGACATATAGGCCAATGGAACCAGACAGAAGACCCAGATGAGTACACAACAGTCAACCAGTATTTGACAAAACAACAACAAAAATCCCAAACAACCCCCAGGATCTTCAAAACTAGTGCTCGGAAAACTGGGCGTCCACATGTAGAAGAACGCATTTAGGCCCATCTATTATTAACCTGCAGAAAGGTCAACTCCACACAGATCAAAGCCTCAGTGAGAAATTGGGGACATTAAAACTGCTATCAGACGACAGGCAGTGCCCACAAGACACAGGTGAACAGGCATTCACTAAACTAAGGCTAACAACCGACAACTGGGACCGGATGACACTAAAAAGCTTTTGTACAGCAGAGGAAACAACCAAGAAGCCCACAGCTAGATGAAAAGCTTCAGGAGGCCAACGGCTGGGCAGACTGGGGAGAACAAGTTTCCTCCATGGATGAGCTCCCATACAGGTTGTCCAATCCCAGGTGCTAAGCCCTGGACAAACATGCAAAGCCAAACAGACGCAGTAGCTTCTACACTGGGTAGAAGTGCCTCTGGGTAACGCACACTTATACACCTACGGTAATAATAATCGAAGAGGTCATGAATTTGGGGGGCAGGAACGAAGTAGAGGTCCTGCTCATGAATGAAGCTCTCAAAAAGACACAACAAATAAAGCAGAGGAAATGGCAAGCTTAGACTCCAACTTTTCCCAGCAGAGGAAGGAAACAGGATTTACCTGGTTGGTAGAAATCAGGCGACAGTTCTCGGGCCACGGCTCTTGCGATATCGCACTCCTGGCGGGCAGCCAGTGCAGCCTGGTCAGCAGCGTCAGCTTTCGCTCTGGCGTGTGCAGTCCTACAGGGGCACAAGAATGGGGAGGAGAGAAAGCTTTACATTAATCCCCCATGGACAAGCAAACCTTGGTCTAGGGAGAGGAATGTCAATTATGATCATGGCCCAGCACCTGCAGCAGCAGCTCTCTGTGTCACAATGCTCTGAGCATGGATGAAAACCTCCTGTGAATCACCGCAGTCCTTTCCAGGGAACAGGAAACCTGTGCAACATCGCTACAGTGGGACACTGTGTCTGGCTGTCAGAACTCAGTGGACTAACCAAGTCCTCTGCATCACACTCCCCCAGGGCCAAAAAAACCAACCAACTATGGAGAGTAGGATTTGACCTTCTGAATTAGCTTAGTGTTCACTGACCAGAGCTACTGGTAGACCCAGGTAAGAATCTGAATGAGGAAAGGCTGCCCAGGGGAAGAAATGAGCACAAACCACTACCCTCAAACCCTTGCTGTGGCCGATTTCAGGCCATCAGGATGCTACTGGACGTGTTACCAGGAAGAGACACACACTATAGGTTCTTACCAGCACCGTAGGGCAGGCTAGTGAGCGGTCTACTTACCAAGTGATCCTACATTCAAAACAGCTGAACAAAGCAGCCTTGTAGACTACAGCCAGGATTTCTGCATCTTCTTCGAATCCCCCAGGACAGCGCCCCTTACCAGCAGGAAGTAGTTTGGAAAGAACGATGCCCAAATATTGTCTATAAATGTTTGTTTTCATTTAAATGGACTTGGTTATAAAACATAAACTAATTAATTAATTAAACTTCTCTGCCTTTAAATTTCTCAGAAGGTTGTCTGCGCATGTGGAGCTGTCACAGGATATCTTTTTGGGAACGGGTTCTCTTTCTAAAGTGTGGGCTCTGAAGTCTGAACTCGGGACATGGCTCTTACCTGCTGAGCCCTCTCACTGGGCGGCGGGGGTGGGGGGGACACGGACGGACACACGGACATGGATCTTGTATGAAACAGATAGGACCCAATGAGACAGAGCTGGCTGGCGAGGGTGGAATGGACCTTTTGGTCTCCTATCCCCTCCCTGCTCCATCCTCACACATTAAAAGCTTCACCCTTTTCAGGGGAGCAGGTTTGAGCTTCCAGGCCTGTCTTGGCTCCTCTCTTGCAGACACAGGAGTAACCGGAACACCTGGCTGCTACGCATTACTGTAGTCAAAGGCATCAAAAATTGTTTTTCTCACCAACTTGAATTTTTTCCCCCTTTAACCACTGAATTATTTTACAAGTAATTAAGTCATTTTTACTCTGAAGAAAATCTGCTACTTTCCTCAATTTTCTTGAATGCGTAAAAAAATAATTCAAGGATGGCCCTTACATTTGACAATGCTTTTTGCAAAAAGTACACTCAACTGTAACCTAGACAGGCTTAAGGTTCACTCCTGAAAGAAATGTACACTGTCCTTAGGTTTTCACGGACAGAGCTGATGGAAATTCTAATACAGACGGCTCTGTTAAAGGTGAAACTACACCTGACATCTACTGAGTCTGCTACTCGTACATCTTATCCATTTTCTCCCCAACAATAAAGTGCTTTAAAATGCTGCTTTTGGTATCCTTTAAATTTTATTATATATTATGTCATGGTTAGGTCGTGATCTGACTCTTAGAACTTGGTGGCAAAGGCTACCATCTAACAAATCCTGTTCCCCTCTGCTTGTCCTGAAATGTCTGGCGATAACAAGAAATAATTTTTTTGGGGGGGTTATGGCACTGTGGGTAATAAAATGCAAAAACAAAACATGACCTGTTGGCCTTTCTTTTGGACTGTGACATTATTCATTTATGTGAGACCTAGATTTGAGAAAACCAATTATCTCACACAGACAGTCGCAGCCCTTGTAAAGAAGAAATTAGTCTACAGAACACTCTGGATAGGGACAAAAGGCGAGCGGCTCTGCAGACTAAGGCACAATTGCAGGCTGGATTCTGAGGCACCGGTACCGAGTAAGAAGGCCATGCTTCAGTCTTGATATGATCCTATAATAAGACTGGCCCAGACAGACTCAGCGTGCCGACACTCAGAGCCACAACTTTCCATCTTGTATCCACTTGCTAACTGACATAGCAGATGAAGATCTCAGCTCAGAACAAGACTCTGTTACTATTTTACTCCCAGTAAACCTTGTTCAGAAGACCACATTGTAGGCGTCTTCCACCTACCGGTTCCTGAATGTTAGCGTTCTCCATAAAATGCCTTAAGAACGAATAAAACAACAAGACCTAGGATGGTAACTTCAGGGCTGAGTTCTTATTCCAAACAACTGGTATTAACAGTGAGTCACTAATCACACTTTTCAGTGCTGAAGTTGACAGCTTCCTTTTGTCTGAAAGTGATAGCAAGCTACTTAGCTGTAACATGGCCATGACCGGGCATGTTATTGCCAGTGAAGGTTGGTGTTTGATACTTCCAGAGCTCCTACCTTTGCACATGTTTTAGAAGTTAGGCGTTGAAAACATCTAGTCAATGACCAGGCCAAATCTCTTCAGAGCCTCGAGTGATCTTTGTCAATGAGATCACAAGTTTAACTACCGTTCTTACCAAAGAAATGCCTACACACTGCAGTAATTAGTATCATTCCCCTGGCTTCTGGTCAAGAGGAAAGTAGAGCTAAGATTCATCTGAAAAATATTTACACACCATTGATATTACCATTGCCATTTTTATAAAGAGCCACAGGAGACAATGCTCTTATTGTGTAGGTACAGGAACAATTTGGTCTCTGATGATGAACTGGTTTGCTTCCTAGTATCATACAACCATAACAACATAATCTGTTTCTCTTTTTGTTAAAGCTACCAGGAAACTCAAGAGTAAAATGATCCCCAGCCTACACACAGGTACCTTCTGTAGTTTTAAGGCTCTAACCAGACTCCCCAGACCAGGAATGCTGGTATGTTCATATTTGTCACCATCCATGTACATGCTTTCTGCAAACTGGCAGGATATTTAATCAAAACAGCCAATTCTGAGACCAATATGTATGCTGCTGTTCTTACTAAGGTTTCTCAACTTTGTTCCCACATTGTGCAAATTCCCTGGGGACAGATGTGATGACTTGGGGATCTTAGAGTCTACTGTTCAGCTTTCATTTGTAAGACTTTTTTTAATCTCCAGAACACTTTAAAACTTAGAAGATTAGTCCCCATTATTAAGTACCTTAAAAACTTTATTCCCTAATATTTTCTTTAAAAATTAGTTGACAGGCTGTAATTTTTTTTCCCACTTACTTGTTGCTTCTGTGAACATGTGGACATCTTATGTGGAGTTGTTTCTCTTCTGCCATGTTCTTCCTACCAGGAATGGCACTCAGGTTATAGGGCTTGGCAGCAGGCATCTTTACCTGCCGAGCCTTCTCGTCAGCACCCTGTAAGAGTCTACACTTTTGATAGGCAGGTCAAAAAGCTGCTCTCTACTTCTTACAACTATTTCAAATCTTTCTACCTTGTTTTTTTTTTTTTTTTTTTTTTTTTTTTTTGTTGCTAGAGACTAAACCCAGGGCCATGAATATACTAGGTAAGTGCCCTTGCTTATTTATTTATATATATATATATATATATATATATATTCATTCTTGCTTATACAGCCTAGGTTGGTCTCTAACAATCCTGCCTTCGCTTTCCAAGCGCTGGATATAGCCATACCTGGTTCTCTTTAAAAAAAATGTTTTTGGTGACATTTATGTAAGATTTATCACTAGAAATTAGGATGTTTTATTCTTAAAATTGTCTTTGAAGAAATTTCCTTTTAGTGAAGACCACTCAAGTTCAAAAACACTAAAATGTAACCTCTTTAAAATGTAACTCCCTGCAAACCACTGGGTGAAGGAATCCACAGCAAACCAAAAACTGGCGCTGGTATGTAGATTCTATAAAGCATCCTTCAAGTCACCACAGGAAATTTAAAAGCCAGTAAAGGACTTAAAGAGATGTTTCTCCAACAAAAAAATGTACAAATGGCCAGCAGACATATGTAAAGATGCTGATATTAAACATGGGGGAAAGGCCATGCTTTTCAGCATGTATTTTAAACGATACTACTGTATACTAATTTTCTACTGTCAGGAATATGTCCCACTAACAGCAGTATCTCAGACATTTGTTTGATCAGAGCATCCTTTTCATGAGAAGCCACCCCTGTATCAATGGTTGAATTAAAAAAAAGTAAATAGCACCAGCATATTGCTTAGCCTTTAAGAAAGAGATGCGCATCTGTGCTACTGTGTGTCTAAGTCTGTAGATCTTGAACTAAATGGAGTTAAGGCACAAAGTTTTATGTGAGGTACGTACAGTAGACAAGTCCATAGACAGAAATGACAGACAGGTACTAGAGCTGAAGAAAGGGAGAAATAATGAGTCAGGACGAAAAGCATGAAGGACTGGTTGCATGACTGAGCTACTATCGAACGCTGCACTTCATGAGGTTTACTTATGTTATAAACACTTCACAATTAAATCAATGGTTGGGTGATTAGCTAGAGAGAATCCAACATGTCCAGAAAGCTGAAGAGGAAACTTCAAGACGGTTTTGCTCTTAGTTGAGGAGTCACTGTGCCAATCCCGGCCACAGTTAAAAATTCTAGAGAGGGAAACGGCTCCGATCAGAAGGAATCGTTAGTGGACAGTTAAGAAAGACATGCCAGAGCTCTAAAACGTGTCCATTGAGCTGGCTTTTAACAGAGAGCCTGCCATAGAGGTTACCTTAAGAAACATTAGTGGGTTGGAGGAGTGAGGAGACGAGCAATTGGGTGCTCAGATGAACGCCTTTACGGCAGGGAGACATTGTGCAGGACCATCTACCGAAGGTGACGGACGACAAGCTGTGTTTTAGACAAGCTTATGCTTACACGACATAGGCATTTACAGTTGCAAACACACGGCCATGACGCTAACTCAAGGTCTAAGCTCTAACAGAAGTATGAACTACGAGGGTTTCAATGGGAGGTGGACGGACCCACCAAAAAGTGAATCAAAAAGCTGAGACTGAACT